ATTTTAAACAGTTTTTAGCTTATGGAGTATTCTACCTTCAATGCCTGTTTATGTATGGGTATTTCTGCGATGAAAACTCCTCACTGCAAGCCTGATGCTACATCAAGGTGTCCGATTTGCCAACCAGAAATAAATGAACTTGCAGATGACCTTCCGTTTGCTCATTCTCTCAATTCAAAGTATGTTATGAACTTCAGACGGTTTGATGCTGTAACCGTTTTCAAAATTTTTGTTCTCTTACATTGAGTTATGACATCGAATTATTAAGTATTGTCTTTTTCTTCTTTTTAAATATGCCGATTGAACTATCATAAAAAACTACTTTTTTTCTACTTTCTTCTTATCGTAAAGGAAGGCTGAGCGTGTCATTTAAGCGTTATTTTTCGTCTAGTTCTTCACGTGTCGCGCATTTTGCACTACAGTGCTTGATGGCGCCTGTTTTGTTGGTTAAGAGTTTTTCTTAGATATTGGTGAGTGGTCAGAGTTACAAATAAGATTTCTTGCCTTTTTTTTATGCCTGGCTTCCAATTGCACTTTCAAAAAGTCCAGTTTTTGTTGCCTTCTTTTCAGTGGCTTACAGCTCAACATACTTAGTTTTATTAATCACTGCATTTTTTGATTTCTTTGTACTCTTCCGTTTCTGTTTTACTGAACTTCTTAATATCAAATTTGTCTCGCTTCAAAAATTAGTTATTGACTTGTTCTTTGAATAAGACAAATTGTAGAATTTTTCTGTAGATTGATTTGCGCATATTCTGGGGAGCCACTCGATGAGAACAATCCGCCTTATATGTTGCCAAATGGCCGTGTCTATGGGCAACATGCAATAGAGCTGCTTTGCAAAGACAGTTATATTAGATGCCCGAGGACCAACGAAGTGTTTCCTTTGAACTCTGTTGTGCGAGTATTCGTACTGTAGTTGAATTGGAATCGATGTTCTATTGGCTATCCATGTAAGTTCATTTTTTTGGCCGAACAGTTGTGATCAGAGTTATGAAGAAGCGCAATATTTTCTTTCGTTGTGAAAAGTATTACTGATTACAAAACAGTTTTGTAGTATCGTTAAGTTATACGCAATATTAAGTTTTTTATAGCTTTTTAGCTGGTCTACTTTGCAAATTTTTGATTTTAGGTTGCAGAGCACGTTTTCTTATGGCAGCAACCCCAAAATTATAAGAAAAATGGCTTTTAGAACCAGCAGCGTTCAAGAAACTGAGGCAGGTAATCGAGCAGTAGTAGTAACATCAGTGGAGTAATGTTTATTGTTCTGAAATTCATTTTTTTCATTTGTTCAAAAAATTTTAATTTATCACTTCTTAAGTGAATCTACGTCTGCTAAAGATGAGCTTGGTGAAGTATTCCTGTCCCATCTTTAAGGTCCTAAGTTGTTCGTTTTTTATAATCTTCCGCCTCCTTTTTAGACTCTATAGAGTCTGAGAAATAGTCATTTACTTTTTCTTGTCTACTGGTTGTTTTTGTTTTTGGGATTCTAAGTACAATTTTAGGATGGTCAAATAAAAGTTTTCCTTAGTTTCTGAATAAAAATCTTTGCCTTTGTAAGGTACGGTTGCTGGCTGTGATTTAGTGTACTGTCGTTTTTTGAGTAGTAGAGAAATTGCTATTTTTAACGTAGCGTTAGTTTTTGAATAATGAATAAGCTGTTTGTTTTTTTGAAATTAGAAGAGACTATAACCAAATATTTTATGGTCTTTTTTTTTGAACTATCATAAGCTTTTACTAGATGAATATTATAGCTTTATCTTATGTAGTTTCTGGACCTTTTTAAATAACTGGTGAGCAAGTAATGTATGGATATCTTTTCGAGCCTCCTGCTTATTCTGACATTTTCTTTTATTTTTAAAATTTTCTACACTTTGCTGGACTTGTAAAATTGGTCTGTATTCGAAATAATTTAGTTTTTTTTGTTCGGGTATCATATTTGTGTGGGAAATGTTGATACCGCAATTTTTTGACATGTTTATTTTTTTATAGGGCAGAAATCATTTAGAGTTCCTTACATTTAAGTTAGTTTTCTTGCAGTCCTGTAAGGTTTAGTTTTCTAGCTAATAATTCAAATGGCTTATTCTTCTTTTTTTTTGTAAAGTAGCTCCTCGTTAGCGGCAGACTTTTGTGAAGAGAAGTAGAACGAGATGTGTGACAGGTGTATCAAAAACCACTCTTACTTGCTTAACTAATTCCTGACTCAAATTGTATTAGAGTTGAACGCTTTCTGCTGGGCCTGTTCTTTATTGTTAGTGGTTTAGTGTGAAACGGTTTTGCAGCTTGAGAAATCTCTTTTTAGGCCTGAAAAAAGCAGAGGGGGTATAAAAATCATATATTTTAGCACTTGATGGGACTTTAGGCATAATTCTCGTCTAACTTGTGCCAGTCTAAATTTTCAACAAAAAGACGGAGGTACTTTTAATGTTCTCATCGTATTCTAAATTAATTTTCCTGATGTGAATGCTAGAAATTAAAATCTTCTAAAGTCATATCAGTAAGTTTTTTTGGAAACCTTATTTCCTGCAACAGCTGTGTTAGTCGTCTACACTCATTCTAGCCGTTATGTATAATTCTAAGTTTCTTGTTCTTTTTTTTCTTTATTATCTGTAAATTGTTGTTTTATCGGTTTGCAGAGATCTATTGTTACCTTTGTTCTGAAGTTGCGTAATGACTTGAATTCTTAAGAAGTTTTCTTGGATGTTTTATTTTTTCAGAAGGGTTTTACGAAGTGTTGAAGCACTTTAGTGTGATGTGAGATATTGTGATTTGTGTCATTGTTTCGCATTTGTTTAATAGGATTTGTTGTGTATACTGGCTTGTGACAAATTTTTATCACTTTATAATTTCGCTTGTTCTTGTGATTCACAGATTATAAACCGTTACGGAATTCTTTTTTTTTTCTTTTTTTTCGAAGTTTCTTTTACTGTCGTAGTTTAATGGAATTCTTCGATTATTCATTGATCTTGGTGCTGTAGGTCTGTAAAATTTTTATTTTTTTTGAAAGATTTATGAGTAGATGGACGTTTAGGAAGTGGAAAGAAGTTAGTTTGGTGTCAAGGAAGAGCCCTTTAGGGTGATTTTATGGTTTTAGGTTCAAGTTACTTTCAACATGTAAAGTTCTTTGGGAGAAGCAAAGTTGGTTAAAGTTACTGTACATCTGTGAAGTTAAGAAAACTCATTTGTATGTGCAATATTGCTTGTGTCTGATAAAAGATTAGCTTTATTTGGAGTTGCTTTT